ACCTTTGTGGGACTGCTCAGTGCTCCATGAGAGGGGCTCTGCTCCGGGCTGCCCCCGACCTGCGCTGGCACAAATTGGGCCATGTAGGTGCTGTAATCCAGGAAAATCTCCTGCTGGATGCTCCCCGCCAGCTCCTTGGGTGGGAGAGCGGAGGGGATGTCCTCAGAGCTCCCCCCGCTGCTGCTACCGCTGCTCTGTGGAGCTGGGCCCGTGCCTGGGGACATGAGAGGTGACATCCTGGCTATGATTCGTGTGTGATGTGCCATGATGCCCATGTGGTGACGTGCTGCCTGCCCATGACGCCAGTGACATACCCCCCACCCTATGCTTCTAAGGGGGGTCCTCTAGGCTCCTGGAGCTTCTTCCCGTCCCCATATACTCACTGCTGCCTATCAAGGGCTTGTCTTTTTGCACTCAGGCAGCTCACCCCCTAGACCGTCCCCAGCACATAGCATAGGACCCGATGCTGCTTCTCACCTTCACCATGGCTGCTGCTGGGTGTCCCGTGGGAGGCTCGCACCAGGTGCTGGTACCACTCCTCCTTCTCCCTCCCTGTCCGCCCGAACAGGTAGAGGCACCGCTCCCTGGTGTCCCCTGGGATGTCTTGCCCTGGCACCGGCGCCTTCTTTGTCCCCTCGTCCCTCTGCAGCTCCTCGTCCTGCTCCTCGCTGCCCCTGCACTCCCCCTCGGCCGGCTCGGGGAGGAGGACACAGATGGGGTATTTCTTGTTCCACGTCCGCTTGCGTGCCAGGCTGGGGGGGCAGAGGAAGACCTGCAACACCGAGAGGGGCGGTGAGGCCAGGCCAGGGCATTGGGGTGTTGAGGGTCTCCATCGGAGGGCCCTGGGCACCACCAGGCTCACCTTGGCGTCGGTGAGGTCATAGGAGCAGTGGCTGATGAACACAGCATCCAGGATCTCCTCCTCGAAGGTGGCTCTGCGCGGGATGTTGCTCTTGGGGTAGGAGAGCTTGAGGGTGGCTCCTTCCAGCACTGCGAGCACTGATTGCGTGAGCGACGGGTGGAAAAGCTCCGGGTCGTAGACGTGCAGTTGGTTCATCCAGCCCTGGGTGAGGGGAGATGGAGCCGGCTGCTTCCCGCTGTGCCGTATGGAGCAGCAGCACAAGCTGGTGGTACCCAGCACCCCCACCCCGTGTCCCATCCGTCCCATCCCTACCTGCAGCCGCTGCGCTTCCCGCGGCTCCCCCGGCAGCAGCTTGGGGCGCAGGCAGCCCCGTGGCACCGGCGGGGCCCTCGGTACGAGGAGGAGGACGGCGAGGAAGCCGAGCACCAGCCCGCAGACGAGCCCCAGGCAGAGGCCGGCGGCGTAGGGCGGCAGCGGCAGCACGAAGTAGCCGTAGGCGAGGAGCGCGATGGAGGCGAGGGCTCTGCCCGGCACCGCGCTCCCGGGCCGCGCCGGCGGCGGCTCCTCGGGCGGCGGCAGCCGGGGCTCCGCGTCCCCCGGCGCCACCTCCAGCACCTGGATCACGTCCCCGTAGGAGCAGATCTCGTAGCGGCAGTTCAGGGCTGGCTCCCAGGGGCTCCAGTCCCGCAGGCGCTGTCCCCGGCGGCCCCCCGCATCCTGCCCCGCGGCTGCCGGCTTCGGCCGGGGCACGGGGCCGCTCTCCTCGGCCATGAGGCGGCTGAGGCGGCTGAGCGGCTCCTGCACCGCCTCCGACAGCCGCCTCCTGGTGTCCTCCAGCCGCGCCTCCCGCAGCCGGAGCAGCGCGGCGCGGCTCTCCGATGGGGAGACGCTGGGGGAAGACGGGGCCGTGCGGGACCTGGCCGGGCTGAGCCGCGGCTGCGGGGCCCGCGGGAGGTCAGCCAGGAGCATCCCGCTGGACTGGGATGCAGGGGGAGGCTTTACGTCCCCATCCAATGGGAAAAGCCCGCAGCCGTCCTGGCCTCCGCCGTCCTCCCTGGTGCCGGTGGGATGCGGCGTTATCCCATCGGTGTCCCCACGCCGAGGGGAGCCCGGGGACGCTGCCAGGGTCGGAGAGGCGGCCGCTGCTGCCGCAGCCTGGTCTGACATCGCTCGCATCGCCGGTGCTGCCAAGGGATGGGGGGAAGCAGCTCGGGTCTGTGCCCCTTTGAGACGCAGCACATCCCTGTCCCTCCCCATCAGCATCGCCATGAGCCACCGAACAGGAGCAGGGTGTCCCAGGGGACCCCATCGCCTTCCAGCCTATTTCGGGATATGCCCTTGGGGCCATGGAGCTGCCAGCGGATGGGAGGCTTGTGGCTTTCCCTGTGCATCCCAGCAGGGATGGGATGGAGACTATACCATGGTAAGGTGGCAATGACAAGGGGAACTGCTTGTATAAGGAGGATAAAACTCAGCAGGGAATTAGCAACGGGGCCTCTGAGAGCCTGGAGCCATGAGCCAGGTCTGCAGTAGAACAACGGGGATTTTCCTGCATCAGCACGTTCCATTGGTCCCGGTGGAAGTGCAGGGGCTGTGAGCAGGGATGCAATGCCAGCCACCAGGACTCTGACTCCTCCAAATGTTCCTCAATGCTCAAATGGTTTGGCCCTTGCTTAATCCACTGCAGGGACTTGAAATGAAGCAAGCCCAAGCTGTGACCCCAGTTCAGCGTGAGGATGCTCTGGATGCAGGGGGTTGGCAATCTCTGTGTTTACTGAAGAGGCACAAAACTTTTACTAGCACAAAGTCTCTGTATCCCTAAGGGTGTTCCTGGCCATGGCAAAGCTTTGTCCCATCCCCAATAGCCACAGTGATCCCTCTATTGCTCCATTCCTGCCAAAGCCATGGCCTGCTCCAAAGCTGTGCCCCTGGTTTTGGGAGGGATGAGGGTTGCAGCATGGGATCAGAGGGACCATTGCAGGGCTGAGCCCAGCATCCAGGGTGTCCCCCTCACAGCATCCCTGGAGCAGGAACCAGGACACCATCCCAGGGAGCTGGGGCTGAGCAGGGCTAAGCAGGGTGCTGCCCTGGGGCTGCCTCACTCCTGCATCCTCCTCACCCTGGATCTTCAAAGCACTTCGGTGCTGTGAATCAATGACAGGCTCTGCTGTGGCTGCCTCCAGCCCTGTTTATGTAACACCACGTTCTGTGGCTTTTGCTTTGCTTCTGGCTTACAGCAGCCACTTGTGAACCCCAAATGATCCATGGGTGATACCCAGCACTGAGCAGAAACCTGGCTGTGGAGCTGGCACTGTCGGCACCACCAGCACCAGCCAAAGCACTGAAACAGCAAAATAGGGAGTGAGGGGAGGAGAATGATCCCCAGAGCTGGGCTTTAGAAGGAACCCCTTCTCCAACACCCCCTACCCAAGCAGAGCAACTGGGAGGCAGCTGAAAGCCCCACTTACCCCTCATCATGCAGGTTTCTCAATGGCACCATGCCACATCCATCCCCAGTATCCCCAGTACCACCCATCAACCCTCCCAGCCTACCAGAAAGCCCCGGGGCTGGTCCTGGGCCGGTCCTGCCAGGTCACTGCTCCCTGTCCCCGTTGGGTTACGGGGACATCAGCTCCCCTGTGCTTGTGCTCTGCTCTGTATCTGCCTTTTCCTTACAACCGCTCCGGTATCCGTGGGTTTTACAAGCTAAAAACACAGAAAAAGGCTGTTTCCTGAGAGACCATTAGCACAGTGGGAGACAGGGATAATAATAGCCTGGGACTGTATGGGAGTCTTCATCTGTCAGGGACCGCAAGTGCAGTGGGGGCTGGAGATGCACTGCTGAAACGCAGCCACCCCTGGGTGCCTGGGAGGGTGGGAGCAATGGGATGGACCCGGATGGGTGCATGGCTGGACCACGGGAATCATCAGTCCCAAGGGCTGGAACGGGCAGCTCACTCTGCCCGGAGGAGAGCCTGAGCTGATTGAAGGCAGCAGCACTCAGAGGGCAGGAGGATCACCAGTGCTGGCCCCACACCGGGGTGGGGTCTCCATGGGGTGATGGAGATGTCCATTGGCATTAGGGAGCAGGGGTTTGCTTTGCTGCCAGGCTCTATCCAGCAGCAGGGCTGGTTCCTTGGGATAGTCCCCGGCTTCTGTCCAAAGGGCATCAGCGTTTTTGCTCTTGGCCAAAGGAAGGTGGAATTTCCATGAGAGCCCACTGGGTGAGGACTTATCCAAGGGTCCTCAGGTAAAACCAGGGAAGAGGAGACTCGTGGTGACGTGAAAGATGCTTCCCACCACCTGAATGCTCCTCCTGGAGCCTGCCAAGGTTCACCTTCAAAGCCAGGTTTGAAGGCTTACCAAGGCTTACCTTGCACACGCCAGGCTCCTGCCTCCTCCTTCCCTTCAGCCCCACATCGCCTCCCACTGTGGTCTCCAGGGGGATCCCAAGGGTGACCCCCGGCCCTCTGCTCCTGGGGCGATGGGATGGGGGTCCCCATTGGCCATGCGCCTGCACCCCATCCACTGAGACCCCCGGGAAGGGGGGAGCCCCCAGGTCACTCCAAGAGCTGCCCAACCACCACCACCCGGCCCCGATCCCGGTCCCAGTTCCTTCCCTGCCGGGGCCCGCTCCCGCAGTGCCGATACCTGAGGCAGACGGGGAAGGGCCGGAGGAGGACGAGCAGTCCCGGTGCAGGCGCAGACCCGGTGCTGGTGCGGGGGGGGGGAAGGATGACGGGAGGCTCAGTCCCGGTGCCGGGGGGCCACCGGACCGTGTGCCAGGGCAGAAGCTCCGGTGCCGGTGCTGCAGGAGGCCGGCCCGCCCTGGCGATGCCGGGATCCAGGCAGTGATGCCGGTGCCGGGGCGAGGAGCCGCTGCTGGAGGCGGAGCATCCGCCGTGATCGCGGTCCTGCTCGGTGCGGGTGCCCCGCTCCAGCCGGCGGGACCGGAGCATCCGCAGGACCGCGCCCCCCCCCCCCCGCAGAGGCTTTCCCCCACCCGGGAGCCCTTCACCGGGGCGGCGGGGCCCGCACCGGGGTTCCCCACTGGGGCAACAGGGGCGGAGCGGTCTCGATAACGGGACCCCCCCACCCGGTACCGGGACCCCCCCCTCCTGCGGTACCGCCCGCCCTTCGGCGCCCTCTGGTGGGCGCGGTGCGGCAGTGCCGGGGCGGAGCCGGGGCGGAGCGGCCGGGTCCCGGTGCGGCGGGCGCAGCCATGTCCTTCTGCTCCTTCCTGGGGGGAGAGGTCTTCAAGGACCACTTCCAACCGGGTGAGCGGGGCCGGCGGCGCCGGGCGGGGGCTCTCGGGGGGTTCTGGGGGCCCCGTGGGGTTTGGGGACCCTCCCGTAAGGGCTGGAATCCCGGCTTGGGGCGGGGGGGGATGCGGTGTTCTTCCTGTGGGCATCCTTCACCCTGGGAACCGGGCTGCGGGTCCCGTCTGTTGGGGGATCCCCCCGTAGAGGGAGGGACACGACCCGGACTTGGGGGGGGTTCATATAGGGGCCCTTTGGGGGATCCTGTCCTGCTGTAGAGGGGCCCTTATATGGGATGTGGGTTGCGGCCATAAAGTCCAATGTGGGTGTCCCGTGTCCCCGTCCCAATCCCTTGGGAGCCATGCGGGTGCTGCCCCCATCACTGACCCCTCTCCCACCACCCATCCCAGGCATCTACATCTGTGCCAAGTGTGGCCATGAGCTGTTCTCCAGCCGATCAAAGTACGAGCACTCGTCCCCGTGGCCAGCGTTCACCGAGACCATCCATGAGGACAGCGTGGCCAAGCGCCTGGAGCGGCCGGGGGCCTTAAAGGTGCCAACACGGAAACCCTGGGGACAGCAGAACAGCCCCATGGGACTGTAGGGACAGGAGAAGGGGAAATGGGGTTAAACTGAAACAGGGGAAGTTCTGGTTGGAAATGGGGAAGAAGCTCTTCCCTGTGAGGGTGCTGAGGCGCTGGCACAGGGTGCCCAGAGAAGCTGTGGCTGCCCCATCCCTGGCAGTGCTCAAGGCCAGGTTGGACACAGGGGCTTGGAGCAAGCTGCTCTAGTGGAAGGTGTCCCTGCCCGTGGCAGGGGTTGGGACTGGATGAGCTTTAAGGTCCCTTCCAACCCAAACCATTCCATGATTCTATCATTTGTAGGTGTCTTGTGGCAAGTGCGGCAACGGGCTCGGCCATGAGTTCCTCAATGACGGGCCGAAGAGGGGCCAGTCCCGCTTCTGAATATTCAGCAGCTCGCTGAAGTTCATCCCAAAAGGTACCGGCTGCGACTGGGAGCTCTTCCACCCCATGCGGTTCGTTTGGGGACACTGCTGATAGCCACACGCGGTGCGCGCTGCACTGCTTGCGGCCGGGCGTAGCTGCTTCTTCAGATAAGCCAAGGAGCCGCTTCCATCCTGTTATAAATCCCCCAGGCTTCACTCTGCTCAGCGGGGCTCCCATGGTGAAATAGGGAGCGTGGGGGACCTCCTGCTCTTGCTCTATGGGAAGGGGTATTTGCTGTTGTGGTTACCCTGCTCATTGCCTCCCCTGGGTCAGAAAAGGCTTTGGGAGGCAAATTCAGGGCAGCCCCTTGGCCATGGCTTGCTTCCCACTTGTGGGATGTAGGATGCTGGCCGGGTGTAGGGAAATGACCGTGTAAAAAGGGCTGGTGGCTCTGGGATGGGAAACACGAGCCCGGATTTTTCCTCTCCTCCTTTCAGGCAAAGCAGACAAGGATCTGAAGGAGAAGTAAGCACAATCCTGCTCTGCCTGCGCACTGCTCTTGGGCTCATCCTGCGTTCAACCTTGGGGTGCTCCATCCAGTCAAGGGTCATCACCAGCAAGAGAACCCCCAGAGACACTTCTGGTGTCCCTGGGCCAGTTCCTTCTCTGTGCTGCTCTGATTTGGGGTGCTGGGAGGAGCGGAGGGGGTAAGGGGAAAATGGGGGTGCTGGAGCTCTGTGCTTGCTGGCTGGGTTGTGAGCTGCACCCAAGGGTGTTTCACACGACTGCAGCCCTTCACTGTACCCACCCTTACCCCCTCTGTTCTCCCCAGCATCCCTCTGCCTGTATCAGGGTCCATGGGAGCAGCTCATGTGCCTGACGTGGCACTGATGCAACCCAGAGCGGCTCCTCCGGCGTTTCCAGGGGATAGCTCTGGATTAGCTGAGGTCAAAGTCCGGGTTAATCCCTGGTGCTATTCTAGGCTGGGATCATGGTATGAACTGCCCTATATAAACCCTGCCAGGGTGCTAGGGCGAGGATGGGTTTATGATCCCACTAGAGAGCAGCCAGGTATTTTACCCCTCATCTTGCACACAGGTCTCAATCCCCCACGTCCTCTGGGCTCGGTTTTCACTTGGCCTTACACCAGATTTATCACTGTGCTGTGAACTCCGGTGGCACCAATGGTTCCTCAGTGCAAGGGAGGGCAGAATGGGGCTCGCGGGCTGCCCTTTGCACAACTCAGGCTTTAGGGACACTGATGGCTCCTTAACAGCATCGTGCCCTTCCCTCCCTGTCCCCAGACCGAGCCCTCCTCTGTAATTGCACACAAGGAGTTCTGAAGATGGCAAAACCCTTTGCTCACCCAGGGTCTGGTGGTGCAGCTCCAGTGCTGCCACATGGGTGGTTTGGGGAGGCCTCACTGCTCTTACGGTGCTGCTGTGCTCAGCTTTCCTCTGTATGGGTTTTCCCTCAATTCTGGCATGAGGAGGGCACCCGTACGAAGTGCAGTGCACCAGTTCTTTGCCTGGAGCTCACTGCTGGTCTTGTACCCGTTTCTATACTGAAAATAAAGCACTGAGTCACTGTGTTGGAGAAATAACCTCTTCTGTTAAAGTGAGGGCACCGTGGAGCATCTGCCAGGGGTTACCTTCGCTGCTGGCTTTGCTGGTGGTGGTTGCAGTGATGGGGAGGCTGCACCAGTGGTGGGATGCGTGTGAGGCAGGCACGGACGCAGGCACAAAGCCCTGGGCAGGTTTCATCTGGAGTCTCCAGCCTGCAGGGTTAGCTCGAAGTCAGTGCATGTGGTTTAATCCTGTAGCTGTTACCATTACCCCAGGATTTGCCATGTAAAAGGGGGATGCATTGGAGGCCTTTGGGCAATCCCAGGGGCAAAGCCTTCACTGGGGAAGGTTTCCTTTCCGCTCCACTTCCTGTCTTTGCCCAAGTGAAGCTGTTTTCGGCTTGTTTCACAGTGTTGTGGTACCTGCTGGGCAGAAGGGGTCTGAGTTTCAGCAGTGCCTCACGGTGGGTTCCTCACACAAAGACTGGAAGCTGCAACCTCCTCTCTTGTAAAGATCCCTTCACCCCATCAGAGCTGGGTACCGGGTTTATGGGAGGCTGGAGACCTGAGCTGGGCTTTGCTGGACCCCAGTTCCCAAGGGGTAAAGTCCGCCTCAGAGCAGAGGAGCCAGCTCCATGTCTCCCTCCTGTCCCACCGTGGCTCATGCCCCATGGCATCACCCTCAGCACCTTCCCCATCCGCATCCAGCTGTAATTGCTAATCAAGGTCCATCCTGAAGGTTGCTTCAAGCTGCTTTTCAACCAGTTAATCCTCTTATGTGTTGCTTTGTCCCTGCTCTGGTGACCTCCACACAAATCCCAAGGGGCAGGAGCTGCCCCTTGGCTTCCCACTGGGGACCCCTGTGGCTCCATCCATCCCTGTGAATCCTGTCCTCGCCTGCACCGCTGGGAATGGAGGCATTTTTAGGGTGGTTTCCCTTGGGATGCTGCAGTAGAAGGAAACCACAGGTTGGGAATCACCACTTAAGAGGAGCAGTGGTGATTCCTGCTACCCGTGGCTTCCCAGCGCTGTGTCCCACGGGAACACAGCGTGTTTCCCCGCTGCCTTGCAGTTCGTGGCCGCAGGCACGGGAGGGTGCAAGTGCTTTTCCTAACCCTTCCCCAGGCGCTACAGAGGGAGGGATGCTGCTGGTGTGGGTACCGCATCCTTGGAACAACGAGGAGAACAAACTCAGGATGGTTTAAATAGGGATGGGGCATTTACCTGGAAATCCATCCAGGATTTCGTGTTAAAGACTGCAGGCTGGAAGGCCTGGGCAGTGCCTGGTGCTGAGGATGCAGGATGTGACCCTGCAGAGCAGATCCCATCCCTTCCCAGCTCCACCATCCTCAGCATCGTCAGGTCCTTCATCCTTTCTGGACCACTGCAGCACTGGGCATCCCCATCCCCTCCAGCAGTCTATGTCCGGTCCTTCCCCTCCACCATTCATCCTCATTTAATCATTACCCTAATGACAATTTGGGTCGAATCAGAGGATTTTGCTTAGTGAGGCAAAAGCAGCCCCATAGCAGCGCTGTGGGTTTAGTGGCAGAGATTGGATTATGCTCCCAGGGCGACACACACTTCCCTGCTCGTTCAGAAGAGCATCCATTTCCTGCGCCGTAGCCTCCAGCTGACCTCCCCTTTTAATTCCTTAATTTTCTTATCCGCATGCCATGGAGAGGAGCTGCCTCTTTGACCTTCCTCGGGATGGCTCCGGCGGCGGCAGAGCACAGCGGGGCTGAGATTAATTCCCCTAATAAAGATGACGGGCCCCAGAGAGAAATGACGTTATGCAAGGAAAGAGGAAAGGACCCAGAGGCATCGGGAAGCTCTGATTGCTTTGATTCCTTGGAGCCAGCGCAGTGGGAGCGAGCCGGCAGTGCTGCACCCGGCTGCTTCCACCTGGGATCATGGAAAGGGGTGGGTTGGAAGGGACCTTAAAGCTCACCCAGTCCCAACCCCTGCCATGGGCAGGGACCCCTTCCACTGGAGCAGCTTGCTCCAAGCCCCTGTGTCCAACCTGGCCTTGAGCACTGCCAGGGATGGGGCAGCCACAGCTTCTCTGGGCACCCTGTGCCAGCGCCTCAGCACCCTCACAGGGAAGAGCTTCTGCCTAAGAGCTCATCTCAGTCTCCCCTCTGGCAGGTTAAAGCCATTCCCCTTGGCCTGTCCCTTTTTGGGGCACTTTTGGGATTTTATTCACGGGGGCATCCCTTGGGGCAGGCAGCGCAGCCTGATTTGGGGTGCTCTTGTACAGTCCCATCCTGGCAAATGAGTGCTTCAACCCCAGCTGCATCCCTGAGCCATTCTGGGGTCCCATCCCAGTGATGGGCTCTGGAGCATCAGTTTGCTTAAAGGGATCATTGGAATTCCTCTGCACCGAACCACTCTATGGTGTCCCTGGGATGCTGCAGGAGGGGAGGTGCTCGCTCCATCCAGGATTGCTCTTCTATCCCTCAGCACATCCAGCAATAGCTGGAGAAAACTAAAGGCTCATTCCACTTCATTCACCAACAATAGCTTCGTCTCTCCCTATTCCAGGCTTCCTCTTGCTGGCCGGGTGCTCCTCCAGAGGTTTGATGAATCCTCCCAAAGCCACAAGGTGGAGAAATGAGTTTTCCGTTTGTGGCATGTGTTAATTTGGGAGATCATGGCTGGAATCACCGGGAATGGGTCTGGGCAGGCCGGAAAAATGTTTAGCCCAAGGAAAATGTTAATCTTGGGGTTTTTTTCCTTCCCTGGCTGTTGAGATCCGACTTTTTAAGGCAATTAGTGAGGGGTTATTTGTTAATCAGTCACACTTCGATGCTTGCTTTGGGGTCTCATCTCACGCTCTCGAGTGCACATCGCTTCTAATCATGAGCTTCACTTCTGATGTGGGATGTTCCTGTCTCGGGCTGGCTGTGCGTGCTGTGGTGCAGGCACAATCCTGCGTTCAGGAATGGCTGCTGGATGCATCAGGATGTGATGTGTGATGACGGTGGGGCTGCCCTTCCCCTGCCCAGACAGCCGTACCCACCGTGCGCTCCATCCTCATCCCAAGCACATCCCATGGTTTTGGGGTGCATGGGTCTCCCAGAGTCTGCCCAGGGTGGGATAATCACCCCCAGCCTATGAATGGGTGCAGGCAGAGCCGGTGCCACCTTCTTGGGATGGTGATGGCACACAGGGGTGCCCACAGGACTCCTGCCCACTCCATGCTGTGGTGTTGGGACCGGATGAACCATCCCCAAAACACATCACCCCATGCCCTGGGGGTAAAGCCTCACCAGGGAAAGCTGCTTTGGGCTGCACCAGCATCATTCCAGCTCTATGTGCACTGGTCCAGCCTTGTGAGCTTCAGTCCAGCCCTGCAAGTATTGGTCCAGGCCTGCGAGCACTGGTCCAGCCCCGAGAGCATCACCTGAGAGCATCGGTCCAGCCCTGAGAGCATCAATCCAGCCCTGCAAGAGTCAGTCCAATGCTGTGAGCATGGATCCAGCCCTGCACCAGCATTGCTCCAGCCCCACGGCTGCTCCCATGGCCACCTCACTGGCCCATAACCCAAAACCCCACTGGTGGAGGGTGGTGTCCAGCTGGGGTCCTCCTCCCTGCGATCCTCATGGCGTGCGCTTGATGCACTTCACTGTCTGCTGCAATGATTTGTTGCTTGTAAAACCACCGTGATTAACTACAGTTTAGCCTCCTGGTTTCATGTCTTATCATGTTTCATCTCACACAAAAGACATTTACAGTCTATTTTCGACTTCAAAGCAAATGCTTCTTGCGTGAGCATTAAGGAAGGCAAATATTTAAGCAGAACCTGTATGGTATTAGCGTCTCTTGATGTTCCCTGCTGAGTGAGGATTGATGGCTGCCTCAAAAGGCAGGTTTTTCCTATTGTTTTATGCACCAGTGATTAATATTTCATGTTCCCACTGTTATATATTTGCTGGCTGGCACTGGCCTACCCTGACAGTGCTTTCTTCATGTCTTACATGTCCAGCTTTTATGCACTTCAATATAGGAAGTGTGACTCTTGGCAGCGTCCTCCGGTCTTATTGAAGTCTCCTGCTTGAGCTTTCTGAATGAGGCTCATCTTGATGGCGTCAGGGCTGATGGCACGTCCTCCTTCTGCACTGATACCTCTGTTCTGTGCTGTGCCAC